CCCACCTGTCTTCTTTCGCAGGACTGCATAATTAGCTTCGGCTTAGATCCAGCAGCTTGGAGCTCATCCACGAATGACAGTATGTCCGGATCCTCACGCGACGGTTCGACATATGGTTCTCAAATGTAGCGCGAGACACATTGTGGTTGTGTCTGACGTCAAAGTCAGTGAAGCGTACCATGAACGTGTCGTGTTCATCGTTCCACACGACAGCAGCCTTAATGTTTGCCTTCCAGCCTGTAGTCTTCTCAAAAAACGACCTTCGTATCCCCTTTCCACGGCTCTTGCGCTTCCACCCGTGAGTGCAGACCAACTTAATCCAGAAATTTCCGAACTCCTCAGGGATCAATCGATCCGACGTCTCATCAGTAACTGTGTTAGTCGTGCCGGAATCATCTGGGTCCTTCGCATTAACACTCAGGTTTGCTCGCGCCTTAATTTCTCGATTTCTCTTTTGAACCGACGTGGACGTGCGCTGTGGAAAGATCTGGTGTGTCTCCTCTTGGTAGCGCTCCATGTATTTGCGGAAGGCATCCCAGCTCTCAAGCCACTCGACATCAACTGGGGGACAGAGCCACAAGACCCCAGGAGGGACTTGCCGCTCGGGTTCACTGTCGCTCATTCTGATTGCACACATGAGAACCACAGAATACGCTCTTAGCTTACCTCCCCCCTGTGACGGGGTCACACAGCACCTTGCGCTAGAGGAAGTTATCTTCCGAGAGTATACAAACTCTCAGTGAACGGCAGTTCACAGGTCCCCTCTTTAATTAAAGAGAGCGAAGTGACCTAAATAAGGTAGATTGTAAACTGAGTATATTTATAGGTAGGTTAAGTTTGAGGTTAATACAAACTATCAGTTACCTATAGAAATGCAATGTCATTTAACCAATGGTTGGTTTTGAATGACCTTGGTACCTTGTACCAAATATCCCGGAGTATGACATGTCATACTCCTGAAGTGTGAAGTGTCACACTTCATGTAACCAGGGTACACTTAGTGCTACGTACCCCGTTACATCCTCCCCCACTTAGGTTCGGTTTACCGACCAATCAGAATGAAGAGATGTTCGTCACAAACTCTCAT